ATTGCTTTCAACGTCCTCTAGCAAGATCACACTTGTAGATATCACATTGGGAGTGAAGCATAAGTGTTTCATTTATGAAAAAATAGGTCCAAAATGATCACGGCAAAATCATACGGATATTCACAGGGAACAACAAGCAGATTTCTTAGTTTTGCTTCAGAACAGTTATGCAAGTTCTAGACTTCTCACGCTGAGTGATGAACCCGTAGTTTGGCTTATTTCTTATCCCCCTGAAGTGACTCCGCCAAAAAACTTGAGTCACAAATAGAAGAACCATAAATTCGACTAGTGCGACGTTTACCAATACCCAGTTTTGTTAAAATATGACAATATATAAACATGTGAATAAACATGTGTCGTGGACGTGTGCTAAAGTAAACGAACCTGGAAGCAAGCTCAAAAATGAAGCGAGCCATGAATGCATACATGGAACCAGATCACACTGGCTCACCTTTCTACACAACCCCGCAGTGTCTGCATCATCCATTTGTACAAATCTGCGCTGACGGGATAAAGAACCACATCGGAGTTAACCAGCAGGACATCGATATAGAATATCGGCTGTCTGCCTCCCAGAGCGTTGACAAACGACCACATGTTGCGAAGAACCATCTGAGAAAAAGATGGGTAGGCATGGCTGAATACTGTGAGTGTTGGTGTTAATTACGATAAACTGGAAGCAAGCACACAACAGCACACAATAGTAAATAGCACCTGGGGCGAGGTTCTTATTGATTATCTCGTAGATGCTTGAACTGTTATTCCAACTTACTTCAAGTAATTTCAGTAGTATCATCAATTCAAAGCGCTGATAGATTGGATACATTTCTGCGCGTCGGCAAGTGTTCGTGTCGAACAACACTTCCTCCAATTTACCCAAACAACTGGTGGCCATCGTACTGATCTGACTGGCCAGTTCCTCCATGTCGCTTTCGCGCTGTGCTTCCGCGTAGTCCATGTACTCCTGGGTGTGATAAAGACATGAAAATACATGCAATGTGTCTAACAGAGTGCATCCATCCGAGAATGACAAGTTTTATCATCTGATGGTATGTTGAGCAGACGTTTCTAGATGACTACTCTGTTCATGACCATATTTAAAGCTTTATGGAAATTCCCGATTCAAAGCGACGCACGTGGAAAGGTCGATGGCCGACACCGAGTGCATCGTTTCTGTATAGCAACCAGCTGGTAGTGCAGTCATTCAACCTGATTGTAGTGGTTTAGCCACAGTTCACCTCTCTAGGCCTTTCTTATATAAATGAGCATCATGAGTCGACCATACGCGTTAGGACAGACTCTGTAGTGAAGAGATAGCTATTATCTCTTTCTGTCACAAAGGTTCTCTGTCCGGGAAATCGGATCTTTGGAGAAACCAATCTTCTAACTACAAGAAATAAACTCAACCTCAATCATTTTGGGTAGACACCGGTTTATCGGTATTTTCATATTGGTGGGCTAGTGTTCAGCATCAATGAGGCTGATGTTGATAACGGTGATCTCAATGCTCGAAACTCAATCTTTCAAGGTACAAACTTCGTCATTCTAACTAACAACGATTAATCAGCAGAAAGGTGAGTAATGACTGTGGGTCTCATGGAGCACGGACTATTGACCAAGTTGTTCATGAAACATAACTACCTCCGGTTTTCCGAAGATAGGAGGATTGGAGAGTCTGGTAGTGTCTTGGTTTTCGTGTCACCCCCTGATTTAGCATACACCAGAAAGAGTCACAGCAAAACGACCTGACCGTTTTGTGTTGAAGTTTTGCATTTGCTTATCGAATTAGATTCCACACAGAGTATGTGGGCTTGCTTCCTGATTCAATAAACTCGAGCGACTGTCAGCGATATGAGCAGAAGGAAACTGATGGGTGAACATCAGAGGGAAAAAATTCGTGACAGACTACCAGCCAATGAAAGCAAGAAGCTTCTAAACGTACCTTCGCAGAGACAAGCTGTCCACCATCTTTCTCCTTGAACATCTGGGTCCGTGAAATTAGAACACCTATGCGCTCCAGTATGTCTGAACAGCGATGAATCTCTTTGATATGGGTTTCAACTCGTTTGAGGTTCTGCGATAGCACAGTGCAGCAAAGAAAAGTGTACTGTCAAAAAGATAATGCCGTGTGAAGTGTTCTCGATGGTCTCCTAACTATTAAATTGAAGGTTTTGAGTACAAATCATAGTATGATATTTTGTGTGCAATACCGTAACTGCCTAACATCGTTATTTCTTTAGTTGCCTGTCCAGTTGAAATAAACACATTTATCTCCACGTACGCGGTCACAGAATTCCAGGTACTCGTCAATCACCAGGCTGTCCCAGTTCAAGTAGAAAACACCACGATCGATAGTGTTGACAAGACTTCTCAATCCTGTTTCCATCAGACGAACCTAAAAAAATAAGCAAGATTTAATATTTACCGAACAGTGTACAATGTGTTCTGGAGAAATACACTCATCTGCAAATCAATTTGGTTTTCACGGGAGACTCAATTAAATCTCGCGTTTATGATGTTCTCCAGCTGAATGTGCTGCACACAGGCCGCCTCATGATTCAGTTGGCACGATATTCGAGATATCGAAGTATATTTTCATAAAGGAAACTACTCACAAGGTTGCTGAAAACTCTGACAGCCCACGACCGGTTTCGCCCTTCTTGGGGCTCATCAGGTAGGCGCAGTCCCCGGGTTTCCGTCAACCTTATGTTCTACTTGAAACGGGAGTGAAGCATTGGTGTTGAACACTGTGCTGGTTTGCATGGGCGCTTGTGTGGTGTGTTAGTTTGTCGGTTGATGTGGTTGGTGATCGAGAGGGTTGTTTGGGTGATCCGATTGTTGCCCGGTTAGCTCAGTCGGTAGAGCATGGGACTCTTAATCCCAGGGCCGTGGGTTCGAGCCCCACATCGGGCGTGTTCGTCGTATGTCGTGGGGTTGGTTACAATTTGCGTTTATGTGGCCTGATAGAAAGCTTCCTGCGCAAATGGTGTTTGTCGCAATCGTCGCATTGAGTCTTGTTGCTGGGTTATTTGAAGTAAGGTTTTCCGAGAGTTCATCAGATGAAAGTTTTCGGGTATTCATTTTCTCCTCCTCGATCTCAATCCGTATTCAGACTACGATCTCTTTGCAACAGTTTGAACGATTCCCGTGGTAGCCAAAATGTGATCACTCTACGTTACCTTTCGGTGGAACTCCGTGTGGAGCTGTCCGTATTGTAACTTCATGATTAGGACATCCAAGAATGTTAGGTTTCCATCACTTTCTTCTCCCATTGTAAATTGGATGTCTTCGAAAAACGGTTTAGTAGCTGGCTTGTTCGACTTAGTTCATTCACTTTCACGATGACAAAGGTATCGTTCACTAAGCGGATCTATACTTCGGAATTTATACATGCAGCCAGAGTTGGCTATTGTGGTGATCGGCCCTTCCAGTGCGCTCCATATTGGGATCTGATTAGTATAGGTAGTACAAATAGACGCTATAAAGTCGCATAGATTCAGCTGTTGTGGAGATTTCGTCCTGTAAGTGAAGCCAGTCTATGCTGAAAAGCCGAGAAGCACTGTACAGCTGCTGTTTCATCCTTATTGGGAATCATCAGTAGTGTGTACCTCGAGAAAATCCGGAGAGTCACGAACCCCTGACTTCCTGGCTAGTAGTTTGAACATTTAACCGTTCGGCCACGGGCGGCTGATCAGCAGTATGGTTAACTCGTACTTAGACAGGGTATGGCGCCGCTCATCCTTCAATCACGGGATCCACATCACGCGGTCACACGTGTTGACTGGCTCCTCGAGCAACGACTTGTCAGATGGAAGTTTCACTCATCGGGTGAAGTTTATTCTTTCACTGAGCTACTTATAGATTGTTGGTAGGCATAGATTGGCTTCACTTACAGGACGAAATCTCCACACACAAAAATCCAAATCTCACATTACCGGAAGATTCAACTGTAATTCATAAAAGAACAACACCTACACATCTGTAGAGTCTTCCCCTGTCAAATTCAGTAAATGAAGATATATATATATATATATATCTTCATTTA